ACCCAACTCCCTCCCCTGTAGTCTAGGGCCTCGTAACACGTTCTCTCCGGCAGGCTCAGGGTCCAGGGTGGAACCTGCTGCTCTGCTTAGAGGCCAGCCCTGACACTGGCAAAGCATCATCCCAACTGTACTCAGTTGGTCAAAGCATCACAGGCCAGCCTAACTGAAGCACTCAATTGAAGAAGGGTCAAAGTATTTGCAGCTATCTTTTAATCCACCATGACTGGTTTCTCTTTAAAAGTTTTCCTGCTGGTATTTTGCCTCCACACCTCTGTATGGCAATCATTTGTCTATCCCATAAGAGACATAAATCATAAACAAACATCACAAATGGTCATGTTTGCTTTAAAATGTGCAGAGGTAAAGACAGAAGTGCCACTTTACCTTACGGAAGTGGCACAGTTGAAGGAAAAATAATAAATTCTAATGTAGGCAAGCACTGATAGGCATTTGGCAGAAACTTTTTTTTTAAAGTACTTCAGCAACCTTTTCATTCCCTTGATTCAATAATCCCACACAAAATACTCCAGGAAAATCATTCAAAAAGAGAAAAAAAAACTATATGTGCTAACATATCTATAGGTGTGTTATTTACAACCTTGAAACACTAGAAGTGATGTCAACTTAGGAGAAAGATTTAAGTAAATTGTATCAATATCTTGTTATACTGTGTTGCCATCACAAACTGCCCGTGCCTCTGTAGAAACATGAGAGAGTATTTTTTTGTAATGAAAAGTGAAGGACAGAGCCAAGTAAAATTGTAACTGATATGATTATAATATATATTCAAACTATGCTTATGAGAATAGAAATGGGCAAAGAATAAGAAAAAAGTAGATTTTGTTGAAGTAGTATCTTTTGAATTTGTTTTACTTTATACTATTTTAAAGTACATTCAATAATAAATGTTTTAAAATTTAATGACCGTCCCAGATCATACCTTAAAGATTCAAAAACATGCATTAAATGCCTCTGCCCTTGAAAACATGTAAAAATCTATTTATAGACATATACAGTAACAAACATCTTTACATAAATAAAACATGCAATTTATACTTTTATTTTGGCATATCACATGACGGGGTACAAGGTGATGTCATGGGAAAAGACTCCCCTGGGAGTTGGCAGGGCAGAGCCCTGGTCCATACTCCCCACATTCACTGGAGACGAGGCAGAGGACAGGGTGACACGCCGGTCCTCAGGTTCCAGACCAGAACATGAAGGAGAGAAAGATTAGCCCAAAGGTCCCTCCTAGTTTTTAAATTATTTGATTCTAGGATTCTAAAAGTATTAGCTTTTATCTGTTGCCAGCCTAATTCAGGGCTGGCTTGAAAAATAGGAAAATATTCAGAATGTAGCGGCTTCAGAATATTGGCTTTGGCCAATAAAGATAAATGTGTCATTGGGCCGGCCCCGTGGCCTAGCAGTTAAGTGCGTGCGCTCCGCCGCTGGCGGCCCAGTGCGGATCGCCGGCGCACGCAGATGTGCCGCTTGTCAAGCCATGCCGTGGCAGCGTCCCATAAAAAGTGGAGGAAGATGGGCCTGGATGTTAGTTAGCCCAGGGCCAGTCTTCCTCAGCAAAAAGAGGAGGATTGGCATGGATGTTAGCTTAGGGCTGATATTCCTCACACACACACAAAAAAAGATAAATGTGTCATAAGGAAACAAAGACGCTTAATTCAACAGATATTTATTCAGCACCTGTTGGTCTAGGTATTATGACCAACATACAAAATGCCTGCCCTTATGGAGCTTATATTTTAAGGGAGGAGTGGACAAAGACAATAAACAAAATAAATAAGTAAAATATGTGATTGGTCACATGGTGGAGTGCTGTGGAGAAAATAAGGGCTGTGGAGAAAAATAAATCAGGGGAGGGGGGCAGGCTAAGTCTGGAGGGACTTCTGGCAATTTTAAATAGGGTGTTCAGGGAAGGCCTCCATGAAAAGATACTGTTGAGTAAAGACTTGAAGGAAGCAAGGAAGGAAGGATGGAAGTGAGGAAGCAGCTCCGAGGAGACCAGTAGGCATTCCCATTGGGATAGGAAACCACTGGGGGATTTGAGCAGAGGGCTGGACATTATTGACTTACATTTTAACGGACTCAGTCTGGTTGCTGTGTTCAGGGTGGACCGCAGCAGGGCAAAGTGGATGCAGGGAGAGCAGTTAGGAAGCTATTGCAATTAGCCAGGAGAATGGTACCAGGCAAGGTGGTGAGAAGTGGTTGCATTTGGATATATCGGGAACGAAGAGGTTGCAAGATTTGCTAAAGAATTGGATGTGTGTGGGAGAGAAAAAGAGGCATGAAGGCTAACTTCAAAGTTTTGAGCCTGAGATGGTAAAGACTGGAGAGAGGGCAGGTTTGGGGGCAAGGAAGAAGACCAGGAGGGTTTGGGTGAGTTTGAATGCGTATTAGATATCCAAGTGGAGATCTCAAGTTGGCAGTTGGATATACAAGTCTAGGGTTAGAGGTGAGGTTCTAGGCTAGAGTTATAAACTTGAGAATTAATTATCAGCATATAGTTTAAATGATACTAAAGCCACGAGACTAGATGAGATCACTAAGAAAGTGTAGATAGAAAAGAAAAGAGGTCCAAGGACAGAGGAGAAATCCAATGCTAAGAATTTGAGGGGTGAGCAGGATCCAGCCAAGGAAGTGAGAAGAGTGGCCTGTAAGGCAAGAGAAAACCAGGAGAATGTGGTGGAAGCCAAGTGAAGGAAGCATTTCTAAGAGGGATTATTTCTGGAATAGCAGTTGTAGGTGGTTGGATCTACACTTGCAGGTTTTCTATGGCAAGTGAAGATGTCATATATATGCTGACTAGATTGAAGGCTGTTTATAATCACATCTAGTAAGGAGAACATATTTGTGTACATGTGTGCTGTCATTATATTCCAAATAGAGATCATTTTTGGAACATCCAGTATTTCTTATTTTCCACACCTTTCCGCACCTCCATCATCACAAAGGATTGTTCCTAATTGCTCTTATAGTTGTTTTCTCATCTCATGGAGATGTTATCAAGATCAGTGTGATGACAAATGGAAAATATTCTAATTCTCAGTCATGTGGGTTAATGAAGGAACAGACTGATAATGAATAATTTGCTAAACTAGACACTAACAATTGCTTCTATTTATTTTTAATGTTGAATTTAGATTGGATTATAGATATGTAATATTCTGGGAACTCATGGCACATTATAAAATGAAGCTGGGCTGTGAATATATTCATCATAAGAATACGTTGACACATTTTCTTACTTAAACCACCTTCTATCTCCAATCTTGCCTAAGAAATCTGGCTTTCTTACTCCCTTAGGAGATAAAGTGTTTTATTTAAATCACTTCTCCTGATAACTGATCTAAGAGGAGGGGAGAAGACATAGATATAACTCATTGACAGCCTCGGGATACAGACATCCCGTCTCCATTCCTTTTAGCTTTTACTGGACATCAGTCTAATAAGGCGACAAAGAAAAGTAAACAGAAATGGAAAGCAAAATAAATAGCTGTCTTTATCCTACTGGAAATAACCATAAATTTAAAAATGCAATCTTGGCTATATTGTAAAAAGGATTTTCTTGGTCTGTTTGCATAGCTGTATTTTATTCCACTCTGGACTAATCTGTACTTTTTTAGAGATTCTTATCATACACCAATCTTATTTACCTTAAACACCTTTTGCAAAACATTTCTCCAGCAAATTGTGCTGTAGAAATGCCATGTGGCGTCATTGTGCATGCCAAAACTATAGGTTCTAATCTACAGTGAAGAACTAGGCAGCATAATTCCTAGGAGTTGTGTTTTCACAGATGTACCTTGTAGATGTACTGAGACAGAACACTAAATATAAGTGATCAGGGCTCATTTTGGTGACTGTGGGTAGCTTGCAGCTTGCCTTACTGACTTATCTTCCACATTAAGTAGTATGACCTGCAAACCCACATGCACCTGTCTCCAATGCCTTGGTCTGTGTTACAGCCTTCTTCTGGCACTATCTAATGAAAGCTATAAAAAGAGAATGTTTCCTTTCCATTACAACAGCAACAAAAATTTCAAGAATGAAGCCACAAAAATACCATACCACGTCACAGGTCCCTTCCTAATAGTAAGTCTAAAAGTAGTTAGCACCAGACCATCACATCAGGTCAAAGAGCTGAAAGAGATGCTGAAACCAAACTTTCTTTAGACTTAACATTAAAATGTGATTATTATCACAAAAATATTAAAGTGAAAAATAAGGTAAACACAATTTCTTAATGCCAGTTTGTTTTTTGATCAACACAACTGTTCCATTACATTTAAGTTCTATACTTTTGTATGAACCATTCTTTTCTATTAGATTGTAAATGCTAAAGATTAGGAACCTGGATCTCTTTAACTCCGTTTTATATACTCTAGCACAGGACCATAGTGGGAATGATATAGTCATTCTTTGTCATTTACCAGAAATATTATTTTTTTTACTACAACTGCCATCTGGTACAATCCCACCGTGATCATATTTTGAGGGTAGAAGAATGGAGAAAATGATGGAATACCTATGGTCACTATTGACTTAAGAATATCTATATCCACTTCATAAATAATATTTAAAGTTTTTTTAATATATAAAGAGGAATAAGATATTACCATAACAAGTACCAGCAGCTTTCACTACCCCTTCCATCCAATTTTTCCCACAGCTTAAAAAACATAGGCACCCCTATCTGATACTGCTACTCTCACAAGATTTTATAAACTCTCACAAGATTTTGCTAGACTCAAATAGATCTGAGACTCAGGCCTGCCAGGCAATTGATTTCCAAATGGGTGGAACTCTTAATGGCCCCACTTGTTCTTCACACCAGGACTCACAGAAAGTTCCTAAAAAGCCAATGGTTAGTCACTGGCCAAGGGGAGGAGCTTTCCAGCAATTATAATTTTTTTTAATTGAAAAAATTTAAAATTTCCTAATAACCCCCTAATGGGGTTCCATCACCCCACTTTTTTTTTCAGGTACAGAGCAGTTGCCTCCTGGAGTCGTGTTCAGGGAATTGGGATTCCCTTGATCACTGCCATTGAGATTGTCTCCATCTGGATCCTTTCTTTCATCCTGGCCATCCCTGAAGCAATCGGCTTCGTCATGGTGCCCTTTGAATACAAGGGTGAACAGCACAAAACCTGTATGCTCAATGCCACATCAGATTTCATGGAAGTAAGAAGAGTTCAAAGGGAATTAATTGGGGAGGGGAGGAGGTCTTCATTTATACTTTACCATCACCAAAACTTGTTGATATCTCTACAATACCCAGTGTGGTTTACTCTGTTAGTTCAGTCAAATATTCTTCAATTTCATGAAAAGTAGATGTTAAACCAAGCTTTAGGTTGTTGAATAGAACAACTATTTTGTTTTCACTCTTGTATTGTAGAACAATTGTAGACACAACTGTTGTTCTGCCCCAAACACCTCAGAATTCTGAAACAAATTTACTAAGAAAGAGAGAGAGATGTGTATGTACATAGTGATATTTGTTTTTATAATGAGGAATACAGCACAACAATTTCCATCTGACAGTCATGCTGATACTTATGTTACTTGGGGAAAGGCATGTTGCTCACACATTTTTTTAAGATAGATTTACTAACTCGAAGTAGGAAGTCATACTTACATGTACTTATATTAGTACAGATTCTATGTCTAATATTCAAATAATATAAATTTGCAGAACTTTTAAAAAAATGTTTTAGTATAACAAATTTAGTTGTTGTTTAATACACCTGACCACATTAATGCTTCCCTGAAAAGCTTAATAACATGACTAAGTGTATTGGGAAACACGTTTAAAATGCATATTTTCTTTGTAAAACTAGTCAAATGTGGGCTGAGGAGGAAAACCAAAAGGATAACTAATTCTCTTACATCAGCATAATTTAGTGCTTTGATGTAAATTTCATGAAATTCAGATTTCCACATTTAATCATTTTCACATATCTCAAGGTATGTTTTCCTAACTTGAAAAATTCACAAAATTAGTGGTTTTTACAGTTGACCAGCTATCCTACTCATGAAAACTGCCAAACTGGCAACCTTAAAATTAAAGTCTTCTGTTTATCTACTGACTTTTTTATTGTCAATCTGCACAGTAAAAAACAAAGTAGACAATTGGAGATTATCAGAATTTGGGCAGTATGAATAAGCAATCTAGATATTCCTGATGAAAATTTTGAAGAGAAGAGGTTCAATTTGAGAAGGAGCTTACTACTAATCACTCAAGCTGGACAAAATGAAATGGGTTACTTTATAAAGACTGAACCTCCTTTATAGAGGTGGGCAAGCAGAGGCTGGCTACCTATGGGATTGCAGTAAAAGGTAAAAGTTTGAACTGATCATTTTTTAGATTTCATTCCAAGTCTCAAGTTTTCAGATTCTCTTTCTCCTCCTGTTCTTTTTTTCTAATTTTATTTCCCCTCTTTGCTGTACTCTTTCCTCCTCAACTCTGCTCTAACCTAGACTGGAGGGAGGCCCCTTGTAACCCTGCTGATGACATCAGTTCACAAGAGAAGTGTGACCTCTTTCTCTACAGGCCTCTGCCGTGGAGGGGGCAGGGGACTCCATCCAGTCCCCTCAGGGGTCAGCTTCCAGACCCTCAGCAGCTGCTCCTGGGGCATTCACACTCAGCCAGCAATGCACCGGGAAGACGGGGGTACAAATGAAGGGGGTGCTCAGAGAAGTGTTTGTGTTACACTTAAACAAAAAGAGCTTTCTGATTTTTGTTGTTTTTTAAGTTCAGTACTGAAATCTTTCTCCAGTGGGATGTGGATAGGGAAGTATTTGTATAAACAGATCTGAATAAACTGACTCCTTTGGGAATTTGCACTTAACCTAAGGATAGCATTCAGGGGTCTGTGAACTTAAATGGAAAAGACATTCCATGTTTATTTTCACTAACTTCTAACTGAAATTTATCACCTCCTTCTATTGTGAATGTAGGCAACAAACCACAATAGTGTTTAACAGTACCATGATTTTTTCACTAATATAAGTAACAGACATATTCATACCACATAACAGTTATATAATCTTGAAATATTATTTCCATTCATCAATGCTTCAACATTCTGATAGTTATTAGAACCACCATTAGAGTTGTCATTTAATTTGTTAATAAACACATATATTACTATATCAGAATTTTATTTTTAATATTTTGATAGCTGTGTTTCGATGTAATTGGTTTCCATTTTAATCTTACGTATTTTATTTTATGCACGTAAAAGTATTATTCTCAAAAGGGATTATAGTCTTCACCAGACTTCCAAAGGGGTCTATGGCATAAAAACAGTTAAAAACCCCTGCCCAGAACTTTTTTTCCTCAGGACCCATTTATAGATTAGTTTAATAGACATGTTATAAACGTAGCCCCCTGGGCCTCTTTCTATATTCAGAAACTATCCACTTTTCACAGAGCACCACGATTACTTTTTACTGTGGGAACTGAGATACTACAAGAGGCTGCATCATCCTTAGTAAATAAACAATCTGGAGAAACAAAATAAAGAAAGAACGTTCTTTCACAAGTTGGTGATTAATTTAGTGGGAGGGAGAATTTAGATATCATTTTCCAATTTCCATTTTTATAGGGTATTAAATTTTCTCTTTGAAAAAGACATAAAACTGAATAATCCTGGTATTTACAAATCCTGCCGACAGGGAGGTAATGCTAAATATGCCTTCAGATAAGGTACTCTGCCTCAATAGTTTCCAGGTGGTAAGTATTAAAAGAGAGCGAGAAAGGGCATGGTTATTGATGGCTCAAACTGGCTGGCTGCAGGGTCACATAGCAGTCATACCAGGCAGAGGGTGAACTCCAGTCACAAAGCCACACAGATAAGCTATTCATAACCTTCACTGTTTCTAAACGAGATGTTCACATTAAGTACACTTTAACCACAATAGTCAAAAGTAAACCAGGCACTAGCAAAATTTTGAGGTTCATCAACAAATAAAGATAAATACATATTCTGTATGTCTCAAAATCATGTTTTATGAGCTTAGGAAGGGAATTCTTTTTATTGATTAAGACTCTTCCATTATGTAATTAAAACCAACTTCAGTTTATGAAAAGTATTTGTCAGGATAATTTTTTTTAAACACAGTTTCTTCGGCTATTGTAAAGCCAGGATAATTTCTGGCGTTTCCAATTTAATTGAGTTTTGAGCACCACCCCCAAGCCCATTTCAACAACCAGAGAGCATGAATATGCAAACATATCTGCAAGCATGAAGCTTTTGAGCTACCAGAGACAGTGCACAGTTAATTTACCTTGTAATGCCCCTCCTTTTCTCTCCCTTTTCTTCACTTTGCAGTTCTACCAAAATGTAAAGGACTGGTGGCTCTTCGGGTTCTATTTCTGCATGCCCTTGGTGTGCACCGCCATCTTCTACACCCTCATGACTTGTGAGATGTTAAACAGAAGGAATGGCAGCTTGAGAATTGCCCTCAGTGAACATCTTAAACAGGTAAACCTGATAAAATCATGAAAATCTGGCCAACACTGTTTTGTCCATGACAACAAAAGGCCTACAAATATTGTATATAGCAGATTTAGCCTAGTTTCCTAAAAATAAAAATACTGTCTTGTTTATCTGTATGTCTTGTTTCTGTATAGTTACAGTATTAGGAATTTATTTTGTGAAATCGGGAGCCTACCTGTGAAACAGGTGGCCCTGGAGGCAGGGCCCAAATAGAAAGGAACTACAGTCACGTGCTGCATAATGACATTTCCGCATATACAACAGTGGTCCCATATGATTAGTACTGTGTAGCCTAGGTGTGTAGTAGGCTACACCATATAGGTTTGTGTAAGTACACTCTGTGATGTTCCCACAAGAAAGAAATCACCTAGTGATGCATTTCTCAGAACATTTTCCCATCGTTAAGTGACGCATGACTGTATTCGTTTATTCTGCCAAGAGTATATTGAACATGTATGTTTGTGTATCTGTAGATTGAACTGGGCTTGGAACTGTGCCAGGACACAAAGAAGCATATGCCTTTCTCCTTTAACAGACTTTGCTGTCTTGTTGTGGAAATAAAATACAAACATGAAACATTTGGAAAATAGAATCACAAGGTATGGTAAAGGTAGCCTATGCTATAGAAAGCCAAGGAGGAGATAAGATAAAGTCATGGAAAAACTTGTCATGGATGAGAGAGATTGAACTGTTCATAGAGGATAAATGGGTTTGATGGGGAAGAAGAGGACAGAGGACATTTCAGGTGGGAGAACAAGAGTCTAGTTAGAACATAGAATGGGCAACATGCACTGGGGGAGTGGGAAAAGGAGATAAACCTCATTAGAGCAACATCTAAAGGAAGACTCATGATACGACATGGGATTGAGTACATAAGAAGAGGTCAAATTTTGGAGGCCAAACTCTAGAAGACATTTGAGCACTTCAGTAGAAGGCTGCTGTTGGTCCCTCCCAGGCAGTAAACAGAACAGGTAAAGCTGTGGGCTTGAGAGGGCAAAACTTGATGCTTATACTTACTGGCTCTATGATAAATTGACTGGCTCTATGGGCAAATTGCTTAATCTCTCTGAACTTCTAATTCTTCATAAAATGTGTATAATAAAACCTGCACTTTTCTGTACAAATACTAATTCAATTTTGTCTTTAAAAAATTAAGTAAAATGTTTATGATAATACATCAAGGGGATTACCTAATGCATGTACAGTGTATAATAGAACCCAATTCAAAGTAAGTATTCAGAAAGTGTTGATATATATTAATTCAAAGAGTAAGGACTGCAGGTAAGTTCTCAGTCTCAACAGAGAAGTACATAGGGACGCTCAACCACACCAAAAGTTAATGTGAGTTATTGATGGAGCCTGTAAATCTGCCCTATATAATTATCATACACAAGGATCATTCTTCATCAGCAACTCTTTTCAACTACTGTACTGATTTTCCTGAGCCTCAGGTCCTCATCTGTAAATTGGGTATAATAATATATGAACCAGTGTTATTATGGGAATCAAAGGAGTTAATGTGTATACATGTATTTTGTAAAATCTAACATGCCATACGAATGGTAGCTATTATCTTTTATTAAAATTTAGCAGGAAAATTAGATTGAGAAACTTTAGTATGACTTGTTCAGGCATGAATATTTCAAGTACTCCAGATGTGAAACATGTTAAGCAATTATTACCTCTCATTCCTGCAAAGGAGGTAATTAATTAGAATAGACTTGTGAAAAACAGTGTTTTTAAATGCTGATTTTTGCTTTAGCACCATGATTGAGCCTGTTTAAGCTGTGAGTCATACCTGCTCTGAAAATAATGGAATAGGGATTGGGAGCAATAATAATATGGTGCTGCTTCACATTTACATGGCATTTTTTTAAGTTTTCAAAGAGCGTTTCCATGTCATTTTCTTATTTGATTCCTTCAAGCGCCTTATGAGATAAGCAGGACAGACGTTATCCTTATTATACAGGTGGTTAAGAGATTGGCTCAACCAAATGGAGATTAGAGCCCAAGACTTGGTCCTCATGCAGTAGACCTTCCCTTGCGTCACCCTCAAAGCTGTAGCAGGTTCTAACAGCAGAGAGCCAGCCTGGCGGAAAGGACTTCAGGTGGGACTCGGGGGGAGCTAGCTCAGAGTGAAAGGCCCTGCCACCCTTCACTAGTATCCTGGAGGGCTCTTGGTCTTGCTTCTTGTGTGGTTTCTCCAATTTCTCTTTATTATATCGACAACCAAGTTAGGAATTGTGTTTGGATATTGGTAGCAGAAAACCCAAAATAACGATGAGTAGACCAAGTAGGGGTTTATCTTTGTCCCACAGCAAAAAGTTCAGATGTCATTGGTCAAGGGACTCCGAGGCCAAGGGTTTGCTGTTTTGCTGACCTTTCCTTCAGTGTTAGAAAATAGCAGCTACAGCTCTATCCTAATGTCTGATTTCCAGGCAGCAAGAAGGGGAAGAACACAGACCACATGAGTGTGTGTGCACAAAGGAGTATCCTCCACTTTTAAGTAGTTTTCCAGAAACCCCGCACAACAATCTCTACTTAATCTAATTGGTCAGAACTGTGTCCGGTGGCCAGGCAGATGATTTGGCCAGGCTTCCACTCTCCTATAACAAAATCAGGGATCTTATTGATAGTAAGGAAAAGAGGAGAGTGGACATTGGTTAAGCAAATATCAGACTGTCATGGCAATGTATTAATATTACCTTTTAAAGGAGTTATCCTTTTTGAGGATGTGCTCAGGGGAGCTGACCTCTCCCCCAATACCCTCCTTTTCTATTTTTCTGGGCACACTGTCTTTCTGTTTACACAAAATGACCCTTTCAAATGATCCCCTCTTCGTGCAGATTGGAATCCTTTATTTCTTTCAATTATTCAGTTTGTGTGTTCTCTGCAGCCGTATCCCAGCTAGCCCAGTAACTCTGAAAGATTAAAGAACTCCTAGATCTTTGAGCTAGAGCAGCAGTTTGTAACAACTGCCCTGAAATCTTTAAATGGCTCTATTAATCATGCGGGCTTATTGTAGTCTTCCCATACTTAATGCTATATGCTCCGGGTTGAACCAACATTACCCTTCCAAATCCTGTTTTCAATCAGTTTTATTTTGATGTTAACTGATCCCAGTTACAGACAAGTTGCATTTTATGTTCCTAGTTAGGCTTCCAATTGCATGCACTGTAATACTCAAGCATAATGCACACAAATGACTGGTTGCAGATAATTCCTAACCTATGGTTTTTCCGATCCCGTACACACTTGAAAGCATGTAAACCTTCTGTGGAAGTCAGTCCAGGGTCAACACATCCAGTTTTTCTAATCATCTTTGCTGATAATCCTTTACCCTCATCCCTCTGTTTGCAAAACAGTATATCTTTGGAAACTACACGTCATTAATAAAAGAATTTTAACAGCAAAAAAGTCCCAATGCTAGCTTTCTTCAAGATCAAGAAATGGAAAAAACACGTTGCTGTTACTTTTTCTTTTCTGCTTCCTACTCCTATTTTGTTTTCCAAATGTCTTTGTAGATTTGTCCATTCTTTATCATGCTAGGTTCGGTCACCTTGACTGCCATGCCCTCACTAATGCTAGTTGTCTATTATTGAGGCTTTTAGCTGACTCTTTCCCCCATACATCCACCACACACACACACACACACACGCAGACTCAGCCACAATGTTGGCTCAACTCCAGCTAGTTCCCACCTCTGCCCTGGCCCTAATAACCAGCCTGAGGCCACCATCCTTCCTGGCAGCTGCCCAAAAGGATCATTAGGAACTCCGTGATTAGAGAGTTGGACTCCGAATCTTGAAGAGGTGGAGGCACCGTGAGGCAGGCTGTTCTGACTCTTCTTTGAGTTATTCTTTCTCTGCCATCTACTACTTCCCCGTTGTGTAGTTCATTCCTCTAGTAGAAAAACACTAAACTTATTGTACTTTTTTTTCTCACTTTCCCTTAGCGTCGAGAAGTGGCAAAAACAGTTTTCTGCTTGGTTGTAATTTTTGCTCTTTGCTGGTTCCCTCTTCATTTAAGCCGTATTTTGAAGAAAACCGTGTATGATGAGATGGACAAGAACCGATGTGAATTACTTAGGTACGATCCTATGTACTCATTATGAAATTGGAGTCTCTCTGATTTTCACATTTATAATACTTTTACAAAACCATCTAGACTACATTCTCGTTAGCCCTGAAAATTAAAACTGTAAAGTTGATTATTTTTCTTTAGCTGACGTAGCCCATAACTAACCCCAAAATTTGTGCAAGCCATATCTATAATTTTGTCGCTCCCCTCCTGAGGCTGGGCATAATGGTTTGAGCTAAGCAAGTGGTGGGTATATCTATAAATGTTCTGCAGAACTGAAACTGCCGTTTAAACAAGCACTTTAAAAAAAAAATTCTGACTGCCACCTATAAGAAATGCTTCCTCTAGGGATAAATGCCAGGTAGCAGGTTTAAAAACATTATGTTCTAATTATTCTACTCTATTTTCTTTTGCTCTAGTTTCTTGCTGCTCATGGATTACATTGGTATTAACTTGGCAACCATGAATTCATGTATAAACCCAATAGCCCTATATTTTGTGAGCAAGAAATTTAAAAATTGTTTCCAGGTAAGACTGTTTTGCAAGTATTTTTTAAGGTCACCCAAATGAGTATATTAAGTAGCCAATAGGCATGGCTAATTCCAGTTGTAAATATTACTTCAATCCACTGTACTTTTCAGTAGAGGAGTGAAAATCATATTTTGTTACCCAGAAAGAGGATCAGATTGCCAGCATAACAGAAAAGCAGTATCTATTCAGACAACAACATATTTAGTTATTACAATTAAAAAGAACTAACTTAATAACGTGCCAGTTTAGTACCCTCCTTCCTGGTGGCGTAGTGGTTAAGTTCACACACTCCACTTCAGTGGCCTGGGGTTTGCTGATCCTGGGTGCGGACCTACACACTGCTCATCAAGCTGTGCTGTGGCAGCATCCCACATACAAAATAGAGGAAGATTGGCACAGATGTTAGCTCAGGAAAAATCTTCCTCAAGTAAAAAGAGGAAGATTGGCAGCAGATGTTAGCTCAGGAAAAATCTTCCTCACCAAAAAAAAAAAAGAAATGCTCCAATGCAGGCCACATAGAATATATAAAACCTATTGATGCCTTACATTGTCTTAGACTTTAACCACAGTCTCAACAAAACATCAACTCTGTTGTTAAGAAAGCTCTTACTAATGCTATTTAATAGTGTATTTGATAATAGCCTCTTCAAAGAAAGTAAATGCTATTGCTCTGGAAATCTGAACTAAGTAATTTCATTCAAAATCAGTTTCCTTCTGTTCTTCAGACCTCCTTACAGCTAAGCCAACCCATGTACTCCAGAAGCTCCAGGCACTTCTTATTGAGTTATCATTTTTCCAGGTCCTGGAATGATTTCAGCACAGAGTTAATCCTAACTGGATTCTGTTATCTTTGGCCGGGATGTTGAGCCTCACTTCATGGTACATATTAGGAAGAGTAGCATAGAGGTCAAGGGTGCAGGATCTGGAAGCAAACAATCTGGCTTTACATCACAGCTCTGCTCTTGCTCACTGTCTAACCCAGGTCCAGGTGGTGCTCCTTCTGCTTCCTCAGCTTGCTCATCTGTAACATCAGATGCTCACTGTGTCTATCTCATAAGTAGGATTCAGTGAGTTAATATATGTCAAGCACTTGAGACAATAATAAGAGCTCAGTATGAGTTTACTATTATTAGGGACAGAGAAGAGAGGAAAAACACAGTGACTGGAACTTGCAGTCTAAAAGGAGACAGACATATATTAACCAAAGAATCATACAAATAGATGAAACTTGGTATGGAAGCTCTAGCTGCCACATTTTTGAAGTCTATTTGATAATGTTTACAAGTCACGAAATGCTCTAAGAAAGATTCTGTCCTAAGAAAGATTGACTAAAATGCAGGTCATCACTAATACATTATATAATCAGGAGTTAATATCATTTGCTTATTGATTTACATATTCATTAGAAGGGAAGGGAAAATCAAGGTACAAACTCTCTGAAATTAAACACATTTTTTGACTGATCTTCATAAAAAGGCAGCACACCCAGGGGAAAGAGCCCAATCCAGAGAATCCTGGTTCTAATTCCAGTTCTGCCTCTTATTATCCTCTCTAAGCCTCCCTGTCCTCATTCATAAAAATGAGGAAAATAACACCTACCACCTAGGGCTGTTATGAGCATCAGAGGAGGTACCCAATGCAGAGAGCCACACAGGTGGTGCACACTGAAGAAATGCCAGACCCCTCCCGGCCCTTCCCCACCCATGCCAACCCCACGTCAGACGACACTCTCCCTCTGGCCAACACTGCCTTCCCTCCCTCTTTGACTTGGTGAATAACTTAAAACAAGAAACACAGGATCTATTTCTCTGCACTAGAATGGACAGTTTAACTTCTACCTAGAGATTATGGGCTCCATACTCTAGATTACTGTTAAGGCTCACGTTCTGTCCTCAGATGTGTCTGGACATTGACCTTTGTTGGTGGGGGCCCAAGGCCTCTGGGTTCTGCTGGGAATGGGTTGGTAGGCTCATGTTATTTAGAGTCTGTTCCTTCTCCCAGTCTTGCCTCTGCTGCTGCTGTTACCAGTCCAAAAGTCTGATGACCTCGGTCCCCATGAATGGAACAAGCATCCAGTGGAAGAACCATGAACAAAACAACCACAACACAGACAGGAGCAGCCATAAGGACAGTATAAACTAAACATCTTAAGAAACATTAATCAATTTTCCTTCAAATCCTATTGGAAAAGAAAATCACACAGCAACTGTGTCTCCAGAAATCTCTTCTCCAATCCTTCTCCCGTGACTCAGTCCCACCTCCTAAAAAATGCTTTCCAAAACATTGGAGGGTGGACTGGTTTATACCCACAAATTCAATGAATATTACTTCTTTAATTTATCTAATTTACATATTCTTCATGTTATATTCAGCACTAAAAAATAGTGGGAGTTGGCAAGGGGAAAAGAGACTGTTCAATTAAACCAGGAGAATATTTACTATTTTTGCATGAAAATAGAGTTTTTGAGGACATGACTAGCTTTCATGGCAGTTCTGTCGAGTGTTCACTGAGAACTGGTCACCATGAAAGTTTAGAGATTTATGACACGGTTTTCTATTTTTTTAAGTGATTTTTTTTTTTTGGCCAAACCCAGTATGAGTTTGTCACCTTTATTTGAAATGTCATTTGGTGCCAGTATTTTTTAACTACATAGTGGCCTAAAAATGATTATTTGGGCTTATTTATACATATTTTGCAAAAGAAAAAAAAAAGAAGTAAAACAGAATTCAGGTAAGCAATTAGGTTAATGTTTCTCATGTCACTGTTTTATTTTTAAAACATGAATTCTCAAGCTACAACACATACAAGCACTTAAAGCAGAGACTGATACTCACAGATGGCAGTTTAATAGCTGCTATTCAAAGAATTTTTAAGAAACTATATTTTCTTTTTTAATGGTGTTTCATCACAGGAGATCTTCAGCATATTTTTATGTTAAATTTAAAAATAATGCTTGAGTCAAATAGTTCTATTTTTCATGAGCCCAATCTTTTTTTATGTAAGTATCTTATGTAAAATCAGTATCATGTACCAAAATTTAAATGTATGTGTCATTCAACTATGCCCAAGACTGTCAGTGCAAATGCATAGAAGGCTGAAACACATCTAGGAGAAAAGGATTGAATATTTTTAGAAGAATTGGAAATTTTCGTTGAGTTTTTTTTTTTAATAGTAGCATGTATATGTGTGTATATGTATATATATGTACATATGCATATATGGGTATATATGTACACATATATATACATTATACATATCACCTCATAGTCTCTTGATTTCTCTTAAAATGTTAACTGGCAGTAAGATTTTTTTGGTCATTCTCTTTTCCATATGGGAAACATAATTTCAAAGTGGCCAGCTGAGTTTGTCATGTCAGTGAAATATAATTACCCCCAAATGCCACCATGAACTTATGGTTCTTCACTTCTCTGGGTTTCCAGTATGAACCTAAACACCTCCCCCACCCCCACTCCTCACATGGTCACCATTTCAAAGGGCCCAAAGTGACTTTTGCTGGGCATTTTCCAAGATGTTTACAGACTGTGAGTATAGCATAAAATCTTTTACTGTGTGTATATAAATATATATAAACAACTGTACATTTCTTTTAGCCAATTTTTCTGTGATTGTCTCTGTGGAATGTATTTGTGTGTGTGACATATGCATGTGTGTGATGGTGTGGATGGACTTAATGTCATCTAATAATAATGCCCTGTAGTTGCGCCAAAGCACACACTCTGAGTGGAATCTAGGTGGTTGTTCATCACGACAACTGGCCTCAGTCAGTTTTAATCTGTCTGTGTTCATAAATCTTGTGACCATGTTACTATTACAAATGGAATATGGCAGGCAGCATGAAAGGGGACGAGCCATGGATTAACAATAGAGATTTGTTTGGTTGGTTGGTTTGATGAGGCAGTAATTTGCGCTTTTATTTTTTCCTGTACTGGAGCAAAAGTCCTTAAAGTATTATATTGCCCCAGTCCTCAACTCAACATGGTGATGAGATTGACAGGTGGTCTGATGTTTCTATCAGACTTCATCAGACAGATTGCTGATGATAAATTAGCTAAGCTGATTTGTTGGACTGTATTTTAGCACAGTCACATATAAAATGATATCAGGTTCCACTTGATCCAATTGCAGGGCTCCTTTCTGTGTCAGCAGTCAAATTCCATTAGTCCACTGGTACATTACATGCAGTGATATATACCTGTAATATAAGCCATAAGTCCACACCATTTTGTTTTAGACAGTTGTCTTTTTTTTAAGATGCTTTGTCTCTTGCATATGGAAAATGCATTTTATAAATTCAAAAAGTCATAGATTTCTGAATAACCACACAGGCTTCGATGTACATTTTGTTATGGACCAGTAAGTAACTGTGGTTTACTAGTAGGAATATTTTCAATTTCTACCTTTATCACGTATTTCCAAGTAAACCTGTAGAAATGAGCCAGAAGCCAAGGCCCTGCATTGGTAGTGGCCCATAAGTATAAAATAAAAGTTTACAGAAGCCTTGCAGGTGTCTCTTCATTTTTACGTAGTTCTACATAGAAAATGTTTGTTACACAATACCTGTTGCAAACCTCTCCCTAGACATAGCCAGACCAGCAATTTTACTTTCAAACAGATACTTCCCAGCTGTACTCTATTCTCAACCTACTTTGTTGTACTGAACACTTAACTCTCTCATTCATTCCTTCATTCACCTTTCCAGTAAATTTTACCGAGCATCTACTATACACCAGGAGTTCTTCTAGGTACTGGGGATATAGCAGTGAACAAAATAGGCAAAGTTCCTGCTCTCATGGAGCTTGCATTCTAGAGGAAGGAGTTGGACAATAAACAATTACAGTTAGTAAACGATACTTCAGATTGATACCCGGAGGAAGAGACACATATATATCCAGTTGCTTATTTGACATCTCCAACTGGATGGATAACAGACATACTGTATCTAAAACTAAGCTCCTGATATCCCTGTAACCTGTGCCACCATAATATTCATCTGCTCATGTGTTAGTCAGTGTTCTCCAGAGAAACAGAACCAATATAGTTATAAGAGGAGATTTATTATGGGAATTGGCTCACATGATTATGGAGGCTGAGATATACCACAGTCTGCAGTCTGTAAGCTGGAGAACTAGGAAAACCAGTGATATAATTCGGTTTGAGCCCAAAGACCTGAAAACCAGGGGAGCTGATGGTATAATTTCCAGTCTGAAGCCAAAAGCCTGAGAACCGTGGAGCAGCCCACTGGTGTCAGTCCCAGAGTCCAAAGGCCTGAGAACCAGGAGCACCGATGTCCAGGGCAGGAGAAGCTGGACATGCCAGCTCCAAAAGAGATGGAGAGCATTCACCCTTCCTCCACCTTTTTGTTCTTTTCATGCCCCTACAGATGGATGATGTCTGCCCACATTTGTAAGAGAAAATCGGCTTTACTCAGTCTTCTGGTTCAAATGCCAATCTCTTCTGGAAACACTCTTACAGACACACCCAGAAATAATGCTTTACCAGCTCTATGGGCATCCCTTAGCCCAGGGAAGTTGACATACAAAATTAACCATCACAACTCAGTTAAAGACAGCTTCATCCTTTGAGTTGTCAGGACAAAAACCTTGAAGTCATTTCCCATTCCTTTTTCTCATATCTTATACCCAATGCCTCAATAAATCCTTACAACCCTATCTTCAGAGTACATCCAGAATCTGACCACTTCTCTCTACTTCTACTTCCCTTTTCTGAGCCATCAACGTCTCTTGCCAGGAAAACTGCATTTGGTTCCTATCACGCCTACTTGTTTCCAGCCTTGTAAACACCACCCTCTAATTGGAGCCTGTCTCTCAACTCCCGTAAATGGTGTAAAGGTGTTCACATTTCCAAGCTAGGCTGCCCAGCATCCCTGGGGGAGTTTTCTAATAACAACTAAAGTAAGAAAGAACTCTTTCTTCCTGTAGCAAGCCTGGGAGGTTGTGAGCCTGGGAGCTGCTGGCCACCGTGGTTTGGGCATTATGAAGAAAGTCAATCTAGAGTGTTACAAAGATGAAAAAGAGCATTGAAGTCCCTGGTTCCAGTTTTCCTTGATGCTTTCTTCTGGCTTGAGTAAGCAAACGAACACATTTACCTTTGTGCCTATGCCAGATAAGTTTGGTTTTCTGTTGCTTATAATACACACCCTCTAAGAACATCTCATCTAAATTATCTTGATTTATCTTCTCTTCTTGTTGTTGTTGTTTAAATTAATAGACTTTATGTTTTTCAGAGTAGTTTTAGGTTTACAGAAAAATTGGCATGTACAGAGAGTTCCTACCTTTTCCCCCTTCCCCACAGACAGTTCCCCCTATTATTTTCTTCTTGTGTTAGTGTGGTATATTTGATGAACCAATGTTGATACAGTATTATTAACTAAGGTCCATAGGTTACCTCAGGGTTCACTGTTGTGTTTTACATTCTGTGGGTTTGGACAAATGTACAGTGACAGTTATGCACCATTACAGTATCATTCAGAATAGTTTTGCTGCCCTAAAAATCCCCTGTGCTCCACCTTTTCTTCCCTCTCTCCCTCTCCCTCTTGATTTATCTTTTCACTCCACCATATTACACTGTGCTAGTTAGTTGCTGGGAACATGAAACCAGATGAATAAATAAATGTGCTGAAGTGCTTAGTGGTGACTCAGTTGACGTCAGCATAGGGGACAGTAAAGGGACAAAGGCAAAAGTAGTCAAAATTCTTTTTAAACCTCAGCTAGTGACATCAGTGAGCACAGTGTGAGGGTTCTTGCTTCTATAATTCTTATTTTAGTGAGCATAAATATGTCCCTGCTAGGAGAGTGGTATAATAACAAGCAATACAGTATTGTCTCTATATGATGAGCTTTTTTAAGTCTGTACATACATGGTCTTCTCCATCCAAAAATAAACCTATCCAGTAAATTTAAAATTTTTGAGGTAATGAAACTAATTGGAGATTAAGCCCAGGAAACAGCCAAGATAAATGTGAATCTTTCACTATTACCTCTATTGTTATTTTTAATAGTATTACTAGTCCACAATATAATATTAAACGCTATATATGTGTAGAGTGAAAAAAATGCACTATGTCTTCCCAAGCCTCTCCAGGCCTGAAATTCTGAGTCTACAATTCCTTTATTTGTAATGTAATCTAGTACAGCACTGTATTTATTGATTTTTCTCCATACTTCAAACAAGCAAAGTTAAATCAGGGCACAAGTCCACCACATGCAATTTATTATTTCTAAAATTTCAGTGGGGTCTTCACATTGACAAACTCCAATGGTTTTTTTTTTTAATAATCCTACATTTGGAGAAGCTTCTGTCACACTCTCCTCGAAGGAGTAACAAAGACAAACCAGTGTCTATATTTGGTCAGCACTGATACTCTGATTTTTTTGTTTCTAAAACTGAAAGGAGACAGGCCACAGTTCTTAGAATCAGGGAATAACCACAACTGGAAATAACACTGTAACTGCAAAGCCAGGCTTTCCCCATGAAGCACGTTAGCAGAGTTTACTTTTTTTTTTTTTGTGAGGAAGATCAGCCCTGAGCTAACATCCATGCCAATCCTCCTCTTTTTACTGAGGAAGACTGTCCCTGAGCTAACATCCCTGCAGATCTTCCTCCATTTTATGTGGGACGCCGCCACAGTGTGGCCTGACAAGCCGTGCGTCTGTGCGCGCCTGGATCCGAACCCCAGCCAACAGTAGCGTAGCTCACACACTTAACCGCTACACCACGGGGCTAGCCCAGCAGAGTTTACTTTTGATCTGATGAAGCCAGAAGTCCTAATATCTCATGGTTTCCCAAGGTTTTAGCATCAATATTATTCAGTAGATTCTACGTTTCTTCCTGGGAGGTAATAAATTAGGAACAGCAATGCCAAACCTAGATATAATCAGAAGAGTCATGGAATCTTCCTAAGGGAATATAGAGAATTCCACAAATTTTTCCCTTTTGGTCCTAAACCACAGTCCCCTTACCTAATTTATCTATGTAGAACTGATCATCTTTAATTGAATTTGATTCTATGACCGTAGATAAAATTGTTATTTGGTGTCGGGCGACAGATTTGTTCCAGATGGGAGAGAGTAAAGAACCCTGCCCAGACTACATAATATCACAAGACCAGCCAAATCACAGGCCCTAGGCACTACAGGGCACACCTCTGACTCACTCCATTTATGCAAGTTTTTACAGAATAAAGCCATTTCTCCATGAACTATAGTTCTCTTATTTCTCTCAAAGTGTGACAATTGGGATTAAGTGCAGTTAAATTTTTGTATTTTTAAAAATATTCTGACATGAGAAAATCTACTAAATGTGGTAGGTAAGGGGAACATATGTGCCCTTTTAGGCTTTTTAGGCACACATTTGTGCCTAATGAAAAAACGATCTTGTAGGTCCAATCTTTTCTTCATTTTTTGAAACCTAATGGGGTTAGGCCTAGATCACTGTCCCCTGTTCTCAATCTAGACCCTATTAAGAGGGATGGAATTCGGCTGACCAGCTTAGGCCAAGCGGAGCCAACTCCTGGAGCTGGAGTGAGGGGCTGCGGGGAGGGAGGGGGTGACTTCCCAAAGGAAAACCCAC